TGATTGTGCGGTAAAGTTGCAAACTTTAGCATCTGGTATTGCAGTCTTTTTTGCACAAATAATTTTGCTGTCATAAACACAAGCAGTGATGTCAAATGATCAAATACATATGGTCCTCTTTTGTTTTGACTGGAGATTGCATTGTGGTGCCCTATTTGCTTGCCTCCTTGGTTTTCCTTACTGATTCACTTACTACAATAATTGCAAATCAGAAACAGACTGTGTAACTCACAAAGAAAAATACAGTGGCACTATCCCTTATCACTTCACAAGTGCAAGGTAAGTGAGAGAGAGAGAGAGAGAGAGAGGCTAATCCCACTTAGTAGCAATTGTTTCTATAAAAGAGGAAAGACAAGAAGAACTAGTCCTTCCATCAAGGCTGCCCGGAATAAGACAAAATGTTAGAGAAGGTATTTTGTTATCAACATCATTTACTGTATTTCAAACACATCACACATATATTGTCCTTTTGAGCTGATGGCTGATTTGCTGATGCTATTTTTCTTGAGTAAACTAACAAAGAAGGGAAATTTGTATTTGCCTAATAAAGCTATTTTATTTACTAGCTTTAGGAAATGCTACATTTAATGAATGATTAATGGTATGAAACTTTCAAACACTACTTTTAAATGAAATAAAAAACAGGACTGTGTAGCACTTTAAAGACTAACAAGATGGTTTAATAGGTGATGAGCTTTCGTGGGCCAGACCCACTTCCTCAGATCAAATAGTGGAAGAAAATTGTCACAACCATATATACCAAAGGATACAATTAAAAAAAATGAACACGAAGGGGGGAGGGGGGGGGCGGGACGGGGGGGGGGGGAGGTAAATGTCTGCGAGCTAATAATATTAGATATTATCACCTCTAATATCATTAGCTCGCAGACATTTACCTTCCCCCCCCCTTCGCTCCCCTCCATCCCCCTTCTGTTCTGAAATTTGATTTGTCCTTTTCATATGTGTTCATTTTTTTTATTTGTATCCTTTGGTATATATGGTTGTGACAATTTTCTTCTACTATTTGATCTGAGGAAGTGGGTCTGGTCCACGAAAGCTCATCACCTATTAAACCATCTTTTTAGTCTTTAAAGTGCTACACAGTCCTGTTTTTTGTTTCAGCTGCACCAGACTAACATGGCTACATTTCTACCACTACTTTTAAATGGAAAGCATCTCAATTAGTTGCTGAGAATTGTTTGGTAAAAATGAATTTAGAAGCTGTGAAAAGGTTGATTATTTGCCCTGGAAACTGAAGTCTCGTATTCACCCACAGATTAATTACAGTATGGATAGCTAGAGTCTGAGGACTATATCCAGGGATGAAAGGGTAGTTCAGTCTCGATGTTCATTTAGCAGATCCTTGACCTTTCTTGTGACTTGCTGTCAGCAAATGGATACCAGTTAGTGCCAATTGTTCCGGTTTTCTGACACTTCTCCGAGGTGAATGTGAACCAGACAACTCTGATCTGTTTTAACACAAATAGGAATGTATGTACATGTATGGGTGTTTCCACTGTTTGTATTTGATCTCTGTAATTTTGCTTTAGGGACTTTGTTAAAACACAGCTTTAAGTTGGACAGAGTCTAGCACAGAGCTACAATAGTGGAATGATTTATGTGTAAGACAAGGGCAACAAG